GGGAGGAGGAGCCAGACTCATCTGTGCCCAGAGCATCACCTCCAACACCCCGGCACAGGAGAAGTCTGGGTTTTTTATCTCTGACAAAAAGGCTGCTCTTGTTGAGAAAACAGAGCGGAATAAGAAAAAGGGCAGTTCACTCTCTGCAGAAATACTTTATTAAATATTCTTTTTTTTTTTCTAAAAAAAAAAAAACCCAAAACCTTAATAACGGAAGAGAGGAGCTGAGTTGAGAAACCCTGGCAGGCAGCTCAGGTGGAGAGCTGGTGTCCTCTCGTCTGGGGGATCTGTGTCAGTAATGAGACTTGGATTTTATTTCCAGTGACCCCCTCACCTGTCTCGCTGCTAATGAGCTTTGTAAACGAGAAAGGGGAAAAAAAAAAAGAGGCCTTCGCTTACTAACATCAACAGGGACTCCTCCAGATAGTTATTTTTCTAAGACTTAATCTCGCGCGGGTTTTGGCGGATGGTGTCTTTCTTTCCCCTTGAAGATGACCCTCCTCTGTTGGGTTTGCTCTGGGTGGTGGCAGTGGGTGGAGGAGCTGTGTTGAGTCCTGGTGGCAGGAGGCCACGCGGTGTCACGGGCTGTGTCGGGGTGACAGGGGTGGGTGTGAGCATCCCCTTTCATTCCAAACCGTGGCCCCGTGCGTCAGCGAGGCTGGCTCTGGTGGCCCCCAGGGGTGGCAGTGGGCACGCGGCAGCAATCCAGCCAGCTGTGCCATTCCGTGTCACCTTGGAGATGCCATTTAACAGGGAAAAAAGCTCATTTCTCCAAACAGCAGGTAAAAATAGCACTTTCTTATTCAGCATATCCACTCCCCGTGTGTGCTTGGAGCCCATTTGCTGACTGCAATGACAAAAGTAAGGACCTGGGTGCTCTGCCTGGTGTGGTGGGGAGGGGACGAGCTGGTGCCTGGTGGCACCGATGGCCAAACCTATGGGCAGCAGCAGGGTCAGGGGATTTTGGCCGTGGCTCACGTTTAGCCTGCAGGACCTGCATTTTCAGTGCTAATGCAGAAAAAGACAAAACCCCTAAGTTTTCTTTTCCAATCCCAAGAGCAATTTTCAGGGCAGGCCATCATCAGAGAAACCAATTCCCTCCTGCGTGGATGGAGTGGATTTGCAAGGCAGTGGAATTACATTAACGGCTTCTCCCTGGCTTTTCAGAGCAGACAACGAGCTAGAATCCCCCCCTACCTCCCTTTTCCTCTCCCTTGCGTGGATTCAGTACCAAACCCTCTTCCCAAGCTCGGAGATATTTTTGCTTGTCAGGTCCATGGGTGAAGGATGGTCTGGGAGCTTGAAGCGAGTTCCCAAGCAGTGCCGGGTCCAAGGTGGAAAACCACAAACAGCTTTTTCATTTGAATAACTGATTGGTGGTTTGTCAGATCCCTTCACTTCCCTGGGCAAATGGATCCATCCCATATCGGGATGAAGGCTGTGCGGAGGTGGTTGGCCAGGGGCCGTCGGGGCACCACGTCTCCCCAGCTTTCCTCCCATCGAGGAGGGACGTGTCACCCGTGATTGCCCAGACAGAGTTATTGGCTGAGTTGCTTATCGATTTTCTAATCATTTTCTGACAGAGCCCCCCCCACCCTGTGTCACTGCCAAGGCAGATCGCAAATTGAACTGCAGCTGAATTGATGGGCGATTGATTAAAACTCACCGTAATTATTGGTTCTCTGCTGCCCAAGCCAGACAAATCAATGTCAGCAATAACAGATCTGGTCCTTTATAAAAGCCCAGCAAAGGCAGAATGGGTGCTGGTTTGGGAGCCCCCCCCAGACCCCTCCAGCCCAGGGAGACGGGGTTAGCTCAAACTGGCTTTTTCCTGGGCAATTTCTGACACCGTGTCACCCAAATGGGCTTTGGTTCCCTATTGATGGGACATCCTGATTGCAAATCCTCTGCTCCAGGGGCAGGGAGATGTGTTGTAAAGATTTATTATGCCCAATAATTGCTCCATCCACCTATTCATCCCAGCAAACACCCCCTCACCCCCCCCATGCCAGTGATGCCCCTCCTGTCTCTTGGTTTCACTGGCTGGCACTGGTGGCAGAGCTCACTGGTCCCCTGCCTCGCTGTCCCTGGCATCCTGGTGCCCCCAGCCCCACCGAGCAGGGTCACCTCCCCTCTTTGTGGGCTGGCTACCAAAGCTCTCTGTCCCTGGAGAGCTTCTTGCTGCAACCTCCACAGCTGGTGGAGAGCCGGCTCCGTGCCGAGCTGGGGACGGATGCTGGGGAGGGTGGGGGGGTGCTTTCTTTTGCAAATTTTGTGCTGAGCCATTTGCCTGCTCTAATTAATGCATATTAGGATGCATAATTACAAACAGAGAGGAAACACATTTCACGGTGATTAAAAGCCCCAAAGTGGAGGAATATCCCAAGGGTGGCCTCCAGCAAAGTGGGGCTAAGGGAGGGAGGGCTTTGGTGACCCGCTAACCTGGGCTGGGGGAAAGAGCCATCATCTTCCTCTGCGGGCTGGGGAAGATGCTGAGCTCAGCAGAGGGATCAGTGCCAGGGCGAGAGATGGTCCCAAGTGACAGCTCAGAAAAGCTGTGACCGATCCCCTGGCTGTGTTCCTGTAGTTCCTGCTGACTTATGGTCCCATCCAGTTGCCTTCAGCACCCTGGAAGGTCCCTCAGGAGCTTCGGAGGGGATTTGGGCAGAGTCCTGGACCTCCCCGTCGGCGTGGGGAGAGCAGCAGAGGGGCAGATGCAGTGCCGTGGAGCGGAAGATGCTGTTTGCACTCCAGCCTTCTGTGTCCTCCGGGGAGATGTGTTTCTACCGATTTGCAGAGCTCTTATTCTTCCAGTGGGGCTGGCAGCTGCGGAGGAGACCACAGGAGATAAGTGTTGTATCTGCGGGTTCACAAACACACTTATCCCAGTCCTGTTTCCCAGGCAGCTCGGCGGTGAAAGCACAGATTGTTCTAAGTGTTTTCTCCTCCTTCGTATTTATTCTATATATGCAGCTACAAAGCTGCTTGCTCCTGTGTCCTCTACTGCTCCGTGCTTGGGCAGGGCCACCAGTTCCCAGGCTGCCTCTCCGGGGCCCTGCCTGCTCTGCAGCTCCTGTTCCAGAGCCCTTTGCTGCCAATATAGGATGGTTTGGGTCAGAGGGGGGGACCTTTACAGGTCATCTGTCCAACCCCCCTGCCATGAGCAGGGACATCCATAGGATGCTTTGGGTCGGAGGGGGGGACCTTTAGAGGTCATTTGGTCCAACCCCCCTGCCATGAGCAGGGACATCTTCAACTAGATCAGGTTGCTCAGAGCCCCGTCCAACCTGACCTTGAATGTTTCCAGGGATGGGGCATCTCCCACCTCTCTGGGCAACCTGGGCCAGTGTCTCACCACCCTCTTCTGTAAACCTAGTCTCAATCTACTCTCTTTTAGTTTAAAACCATTTCTTATAAACCTAGTCTGAATCTACTCTCTTTTAGTTTAAAACCGTTTTCCCTTGTCCTAACATCCTTTGGCTAGAAAAACCATGTGCCCCCCCCTCAACCTTGCCTTGCCTCCCCTTCCCCACTGTTGCCAGCAAGAAGGTGCTGAGGTTTGGAAGGTCCACCTGAGCTGCAGAGGTGAGGGCATGGGAGCCAGAGAGGTGTCTGAGGGGCATCAGACATCGTGGTTGCTGCAGGTAGGTCACAAGCAGCTTTGGTCCTGCTGCCATAGGGAAATGGTACAGGGTTTCTGGGAGGTGGAAAGAAACTTCTCATTGCTCGGATGGGGTGGGCCAGGACTCCCTAAAGCATCTTTGTGATGTCCCCTGCGGGCAGTTTGCCTCTTGAGGAGCCAAGAGCAACCAGGGCTTGGCAGCCCATCTCCTGCCGGGACCCTGCCTGTGACAGCGAGCACAGGGTCCAGGGTCTCCTGAACTTTTATTAATATGTACAGCATTTTGCTTGCACGGAAAATTGATTTTCTTTTTTAAGCACGAAGTATAGTGGTTTTATAACCTTTCTTCTGCTTGACAGAGGCCATTTATAACCTGCCTTCATCACTACCTGTACAAGCTCCGGTCTAACTCATCTTCAAGAAATTCCATAATGCATTTTTAATTGCAAGCTGCTCCTAGGCAAGATTTATTTATTTTTTCAAGGACTGGCCTTTTTGTTGTTGTTTGTATGCGTGCATGTTTGGCGAAAAGGGATAAATAACGCAAGCGGAATAGAAGAGAGCTTTAATCTGGGTGACAATTTATTGATGGCATTTGCTGCCTGCTGACTTTTATCTTTTGGGACAAGGAAAGCCAGCTGGGGAACTGAAATTAAATACCCAGAGCCAGATCCCCAGCTTGTGTGAGTCAGCATGGTTCTCTTGGCTGCAGAAAAGTGTTCTGATGAGCCTGGGCTGCGATCCTGCCCTTCCTGGTCCTGCCTCCACCGTGGGCTGGTCCTGTCCACAGCTGCCTCCTCCCATGGGGGGCAGCAAGATGCTTTCGGAGATGGTGCCAAGGTCATGTTTGCTGGCCTGCCTGGCATGGGTTGAGATGGTTTTCTGGGTTGAGATGGTTTTTTGGGTCACTTCCAAGTGCTGAGGTGGTTTTCTGACTTGAGATGGTTTTTCTGGGTCACACAGGACCTCTCTGTATCTCAAAGGAATGGGTAGCAAACACAGAGGGTTTCTCCAGCACATTGTGGAGCAGGTCATCATGCTTCACCCCATGCTGGCTTGAGGCTTCCTCACTGTGTGATTTTCCTGCCTTGAAGATCTCACTCTTCTCCCAAGGGAGGATGGGGAGTGTGGCTTTTGCAGCAGACCAGGTCCTTGCCCTGTGGTTCTTGCCCCTTCCCCAAAGGTTGTGCAAGGTGGTGCAGGGCTCTTGGGACTGCCCCATCCATCACTTGGGATGAACTCATCTCCTTTAGATGTAGGTGGAGTTCAACAGCAACACACACAGATCCACCTGGCCCTGGGAGGGCACCCACCAGGAGGCTCCAGAGCAGGTGGGGACCCATGAGTGACCTTACTAGTCCCCCCTCTCTCACTGCAGTGCCCTGAGGACCTCCGGCCCATGAAGGATGGCACCGGTTGCTACGACTACTCCAAAGGGATCGACTGCTCGGATGGCTTCAACGGCGGCTGTGAGCAGCTCTGTCTCCAGCAGACCCTCCCTCTGCCCCACGACCCCTCGTCCAGCACCATCTTCATGTTCTGCGGGTGAGTCCCCTCTGATGCTCCTGATGCTCCCACCAGCAGCTAAATAACCCGTGCCTCTTCCCATCCCTGCCAACCTCCTCCCGTGCCACCAGTGCCCACCAAGGGAGCTGGGCACCCTAGAAAAAAGCTGTTTATAGAGCCGATTTCTAGCAGGGAATAGAGGCTGTGGGCAAAAGCCCATGGGACTGTGAGGAGCAATGTGAGCAGATGCACTTTCCTCTTTTCCTCCACTGTGTGACGGTACGGTTTGATCTGTGACTCACTATGATGGGACCCAAAAATTGTACATTGCCTGTTGGAGGGGGAAGGTGGAGGATTTGTTTAAGAAATACTACTTTTTTGGTTTGGTTTTTTTTTTTCCTCCCTTGTGCCTCTCTTAAAATAGAGTTTCATCCCTGATTTTGGCCGGGATCCTATAATCCTACACAATTTAGCATTTTCTCTCAGGAAAATCTCCCTGGCTGCAGTATGTTCTAAAAGGAGCTCAGTGATTATCTGGCTTTATGCTGCACAGCTGCAGGCAGGCATCCAGCCGTCCGTCCCTCCATCCATCCATCCCTCCATCCATCCGTCACTGCCCCACCACTGCCCAGCCCCTGGGCTCCACACATCCCATCCCTCAGCTGGGTCACCCTCCTGGGCACACGCAGACCCTTCTTCACATCCCTGTGGGAAGGATTAAGCGGAAGGAGGGGAAAAGGAGCCCTTTTGGGAAGGGAATGCCCACAAATTCCTAACTCTGAGGAGCATCCATTGAGTCCTGATGCTGCAGAGACCTCAGCAGCCCTGGCTGCCCCCCGGGGAAGAGGAGCCCAGGGAGCTCTGCCCATGTCAGCTTCTCTCTCTTTTTTATTTTTATCCCTTTTTGCTGGTCTGTTGTTTCCCCCCCGACACTACCTTCTTTTTTTATTGTTGTTTAGCAGTGCAGAGCAGTTGAGTCACTAAGAGAGAGCACGTTGCCTGCGCCGTGCCTGCAGAAGGGGTTGGAAATCCATATGGGCACCAGCAACCCTTGTGGGGAGGGTCTAGAAAATCTTGGGACATTAAATGGTCTGCATCCGCACACACGCAGGGCATCTGCATTTCAGTCTTCCATCCCCAAGGACAGAGTATTTTTCTTTCTTTCTTTCTGTTTTTTTTTCTCTTTTTTTCCATAATCCCTTCTCAAGGCAGAGCTTTGCTTCGGGAACAGGCAGGAGAAGTGCGACAGACGGGTGGGAGTTCTGCTTGTGGCAGTAAAATGCAGTAGAGGAATGGGAAAGGGCAGCCTGGCTGGAGGTGGGAGTGATGGTAGTGGAGTGCTGTGGGTACAGGGAGGAAGGGGCAGACAGGGAAGAGGGGGTTCCTTGTCACCTGGAAGCTGCAATGCTGGGGAAAGGGCTGGAGGAAGGAGAAGAGATGGAGACGAGATGAGCCCATGTGCAGAAGATGCCCCTGATGTCTGTCGTTAAATCAATCCCCGCTGCCTGCCTCAGTTTCCCTTACTGGCTGTTGAAGATGAGCCCGTGCATCTTCCCCACAACGTGCTTGAAAGCTGGAGGGGAACAGATTTAGACTGGAGATGAGGAGAGGGTTCTTCACTGTGAGGGTGGTGGAGCACTGGAACAGGTTGCCCAGGGAGGTGGTTGAGGCCCCATCCCTGGAGATATTCAAGGAGAGGCTCGACGAGGCCCTGGGCAACCTGGTCTAGTTGGGGGTGTCCCTGCTGACTGCGGGGAGGTCGGACTAGATGGCCTTTGGAGGTCCCTTCCGGGCTGGGCAATTCTATGATTCTATGACCAAAGATCAAAGGAGTAGCCACGCTGGAGGTGCCTCCTTGCAGGAGAGCACTGTGGGGTGGAAAAAAAGGGCAGGAGCTTCATTTTAGCTCTGCTGTGGCCTGGGGAGTGTTTGTAGCTGGTGGGCAGGGGCTGTTGGGGACAGGGGAGCAGAGGATGGGTGGTGGGCTCAGCTCTGCTCTCTGGTGTGGGGGCAGCTCCCGACAGGAGAGTGGGTGCTGCAGGAGGGACGGCTGGTGGGAGCCCAGGGCTCCTGTGCTGGTTGCCCAACCAAGGTGCCACAGAGGATGTGGGTTCTGCAGCCACTGCACCATCCTGGGCAGATGCCACAGGTGTTAGAATTGTAGAATTGTCCTGGTTGGAAGGGACTTTTCAGGTCATCAAGTCCAACCATCAACCTCACACTGCCAGCTCCACCACTAAGCCATGTCCCTCAGCACCACGTCTGCCCAGTTTATAAATACCTTCAGGGATGGTAACTCTACCACTCCCCCGGGCAGCCCATTCCAATGTTTAACAACCCTTTCTGTCAATAGACTTTTCCTAATATCCATCCTAAACCTCCCCTGGTGCAACTTGAGGCCGTTTCCTCTTGTCCCATCGCCTGTTCCTTGGGAGAAGAGACTGACCCCCCCTGGCTACAGCCCCTTTCAGGTAGTTATAGAGCACGAGAAGGTCTCCCCTCAGCCTCCTTTTCTCCAGGCTGAACACCCCCAGCTCCCTCAGCCTCTCCTCACAAGACTTGTGCTCCAGACCCCTCATCAGCTCCATGGCCCTTCTCTGGACCCACTCCAGCACCAAGCTGACGATGCTGGGCTGGGCTGGGCAGAGACTTGTCCTATGGCGGGACAGGGCTGGGGGGGGTGACATAATCTGCTTTTGGCCCATCTCATGTAGCTTGTGGTGCTCTGCAGGTGCGTGGAGGAGTACAAGCTGGCCCCGGATGGGAAGTCCTGCCTGATGCTCTCTGACATCTGCGAGGGCCCCAAGTGCCTGAAGTCGGATGCCAAGTTCAACGACACCCTCTTTGGGGAGATGCTTCACGGCTATAACAACAGGACCCAGCACGTCAACCAAGGGCAGGTGTTCCAGATGAGTTTCAGGTATGGCCCAGCTCTGCTCCTAGTTTGGGGAACATCGGGAAGGTGAGATGGGACCAAGGTCTTCTGGTGCAGAGCCAGCGTCTCTGACAGGTTCACTAGGGGACAAGCAGCATCTGTGGTTTTTCTTCTTGCTCATCCTCTCCACAGGCAGCAGCAAAAGACCCTCCTGGGCCAGTGTGTGTCTTGTCAGATGAGTGTTTAATTGCCTTCCATGAGCTTTGTGTTGCCTCATCTGTTTCTGAACACCGATGTCTTTCATGTCCGCGATCTCCTGCGACAATGAGTTCCCCCCTTTAATTGCATGTGGTATGGAAGAGCGTTTCCTTTGGCGTGGGTTCAGCCTGTGCGAGCTGGTTTTATTCAGTGACCCCAGTTACGGTACTGGGAGGAGCCGTGGACGGAGCAGGATAAGAAATAATGTAAATAAGGTGCTTGGAGGCTGCATCCCGGGGATTGGGAGTGCTGAGGGTCAGATGCTGGTGGGGAGAGCAGGGTCTGAACTGCCCAGGTCTTCACCTTTCAGAGGGGAGTGCTGGTAGTTGCTAAATTCAGGGCTGGAAAATGCGTGAGTTTATTTCTTTTTCTTCAATTCTCCTGAATGTGGATGCATTTTGATCGGTCGTAAACCAAGGTGGGCGTAGGAGTTTCAAGGCCACGGTGCTGATCGTGGTCAGGAGAGGATCCAGCCCACATCCCACCCAGACACGGCTCCTCCTTGCCCAGCATCTGCAGGTTTCTTTCCCATTAGTGCACCGGAGACCTCACCGCTGGCTCTGATTGTAGCTGCAGTTGGGGGTGCTCATCCCTGCTGGCCACGGTGGTTTTCTGGGTGTTTTTTTTTCCCCCAGCTGAGTGCACAGCTATAAATTCACGCTGAACTCTGGCCTTTTGCTCTCTGGATGGCAGATGAGTTACGAGCTCCGCCAGCACCAAGGCGCTGGGAACACGGAGCCAGCGGAGTGCCCGCAGCCAGCAGAGCTCAGCTTTGGCTGGAAGTGAGAATTGACAGTACACCAAGGCAATTTTCCCAGTGGGCTCGTCTTTGCTTTCTCTCCCTCCCGTGTTACAAGTGTCAGTGGGTCTGGCAGCTGCAGAGCTGAAATTTTCCTTCCACGAGCCGGCGGGTCCCCGATGGGCTCCCCCTAAATGAGGTCCAGCCCAGCTTGTGCCATCAGTCTCTATGCACTAAACTGCCTTCTGCAGAGGCTTAGCAGAGCTGAAATTTTCCCTCCACGAAACGGCAGGTCAAGCAGGTCTGGGGGCTTCCAAAACTCCCCAAGCCCATCACCTGGAAATGCCAGACCCCGATGGGCTCCCCCTAAATGAGGTCCAGCCCAGCTTGTGCCATCAGTCTCTATGCACTAAACTGCCTTCTGCAGAGGCTTTGATTTTCTCTCCAGCTCGTTGGTAGCCTGCCCTTTGTTTGCACTGCAGAGCAGGAGGGTTGGGAAGCCATCCATCCCCTGCTTCAGCCAGGGCTGCTTTGTTACTGCTGGGAAGCAAATGCCTCCCCTGGCCTGGGGGCTAAATTCCAGCCAGAAAGCACGCAAGGTGGTCTGTGGGTCTGGTTGATCCTGGGAGATGTGGCTTCTCCCAGTCATGCTGTCGGTGAGCATCCCGGGGATGGTGGGTCTGAGCAGTCTGAGCTGGACCAGGCGCGGTTCCTCCAGGGCTGCCCGCGGCCGCTTTGCTTTTGGGATAAAACACCCACGGTGCTGGGATTGCATCTTCCAGGGGTCAGAGCCAAAGCCCTGGGGCTGTGGCTGACAGGTTTTCAGGTTAAAAAAACCCTGCTCTTAGTGATCCCTCCTCCTTCCCACGGCTGGCACCCTCCTGCCATGCTGCCTGGGTGATGGCCGGGGTACGTGTGGAGGGGGGAAGCTTTCTCCAGTGGGAAATGAGTCCTCTGCCCATCCTCTCCATCACAAACAAGGTTTCCAGTGCCCAGCGTCGCTTGGGGGACTAATCCTGGCTCTAACAGCCGTGAGGGGCAGGAAGACTGAACATTAGGAAGGAATTTTTCACAGAGAGAGTGGTCGGGCATTGGAACAGGCTGCCCAGGGAGGGGGTTGAGTCACCATCCCTGGCTGTGTTTAAGGGACGTTTAGATGCGGTACTGAGGGATATGGTATAGGGGAGGACTTTGTAGAGTAGGGTAGATGGTTGGACTCGATGATACCAAGGGTCTCTTCCAACCTGAATGATTCTATGATTGATTCTATGATTCTAAGAAGCAGGTCTGAAACAAGAGCAAACCTGCAAAGCCTGTTCCAGGCTGTAGCGTACGATGTGCTGGCTCGGCAGAGCTCAGGACCTGGCGAGAGGTGGCACGTCTTGCTCCAGAAATGTTTTTGGCAGCCTGGAAGGACAGCATGGCCACCCTTTCCCATTGGAATGTAGCCTGGTGGCTGCCAAAGCTCTGGGCAGTGATGAGAAGGGCTCGCTCCCCCGCGGCCGGCCTGCCCAGCCAGCCAGAGGGTTACACCACAGAAGGACCATTACATCATCCCCTAACAAGGGAAGAGAAGGAGGTTAATGGAGAAGAAATTATTAACTAAAAGATGTAATTTGCCTCTGATTTTCATAGATATTCAAGAACCTCTCTGAGCATTAAGACACCAGCTGTTAGAGAAGCCCTTAATTTGGTGCATTTGAAACATAGCAGGAAGCTGCCTAATACCAGGGATTAAAAGCCTGTTTCTGCAAAGTAGGAGCAAGAACCTGCTATCAGAACAAGGGGCTGAGTATTTTAGAGGGATTTATAACTGCTGGGATCCTTTAGCTATGCAGATGTGACAGTCCTTTGAATGGTGTCTGCTTCCCATGTCGCCGCATCTTCAGTGTCTTTAATAAATAGGATATTCTCAATCCGCCAGGCATGTCAGCGTGGTGTTGGGAGGCTGCCTTTGTGCTGGGAAAAGCCGTCTCGCACACCCTGGCCTGGGCAACACCTATCAGTTACAGCCGTATTTCCACCCCGTTGGGGCTGGGGTGGTCTCTTTGCAAGGCTGATTAGAGCCTCTGCGTGGTCCTCCCGCCCGCGGCTCGGCACGGCACCGGGATGGAGCTGGTGGCACCGATGGCTTTGTTGCATCCAGGCAGCTTGGAAGGATGGGGATGTGCAGTGGGATGTCTTTAGGGCACGGAGGGAGGATGGTGTTTGATGTGAACACAGAGCACAGCGGGCTGGTAATGAACTGGGAGAGCCTCAGAGCGTGGAGGTCCCAGACCTGGGACCAATTCTAGTCAGCGCTGCTTCAGATTTTGGTTTGGTTTTCCCCTTTACAGAATCACAGAATGATATGGGGTTGGAAGGGACCTCTGGAGATCATCTAGTCCAACCCCCTGCCAGAACAGGTCCACCCAGAGCAGGTGGCACAGGAATGTGTCCAGGTGGGTTTGAATGCCTCCAGAGAAGGAGACTCCACCACCTCCCTGGGAAGCCTCTTCCAGGGTTCTGTAATGCTCAAAGTAAAGTTCCTCCTCATGTTCAGATGGAACTTCTTGTGCTCAAGTTTGTGCCCATTCCCTCTTGTCTTGTCCCTGGGCACCACTGAAAAAAGACTGGCCCCATCCTCCTGACACCCACCCTTTAAGTATTTATGGGTGTTGATCAGATCCCTGATCAGATCCCTGTTAATCCTTCTCATTTTTTCCAAGGGAGTCAGGCAGCACCCAGAGACTTGAGTGGTGTGGCCATGGAGATGGGAACACCCAAGGGAAGGATGGAGGAAGCAAGTACTGGCTGCTGTGACTGCAACAGCCAGGACAGTTCATGCTGTGGGCACTCTACGTGCTCCATACACACTGGTGCAAGACCTCCATGTGTTGCACAGAGCCTGTCTCTGCTCACGCATCCCTTCCTGCTGGTGCCAAGGACCCTTTCCCCATCCAGCAGTGAGATCCCAGGGAGGTGGTGGAGTCTCCTTCTCTGGAGACATTCAAAACCTGCCTGGACATGTTCCTGTGTAAGCTGCTCTAGGAGGACCTTGATCAGATCCCTGTTAATCCTTCTCATTTTTTCCAAGGGAGTCAGGCAGCACCCAGAGACTTGAGTGGTGTGGCCATGGAGATGGGAACACCCAAGGGAAGGATGGAGGAAGCAAGTACTGGCTGCTGTGACTGCAACAGCCAGGGCAGTTCATGCTGTGGGCACTGTATGTGCTCCATACACACATCAGCACTGGTGCAACAACTCCATGTGCTCTAGGAGGACCTGCTTTGGCAGGGGGTTGGACTAGATGATCTCCAGAGGTTCCTTCCAACCCCATAGCATTCTTTGATCCTGTGATCCAGCAGGACGTGAGCACCACAGCATCCCTGCAGCTCAGCTCAAGCCATCAGGAGTTAGAGTCTTTGTGGACGGCTTTTTCTGTACCGAGGTGGCTTAATAACTACTAATTATCGCTGTGGTGATTGGAGTGCTTGACTGACCTGTTGGACAAGCCAGGTTGCTGCTCAGAGGAGTGCACTACGTCGTTGCTGCTGCTGCTGTTTTATTGGCAGGGTTTAAATCAAAGCGATCCCCCGGTGATGCTTCTCCTGCACAGTCCCTTGCAGGTGTTTTTGGGGGGGCAGAGAAGAGATCTTTTCATCAAAACACCAGAAACCCCCTTGCTCCTTCTACCACTAAGCCAAAAGCATGTTCAGAGTGGTTTTCTTCTGGGTATCCCTGTCTTTTTTTTTAAAAAAAAAAGAAAAAGGTCCTTCTCTTTGGCGAAGCCCTGTGCAGTGTTAATAAATAGATGGGATGGGAGCTGATCTATTCCAGTCACACCTCTCGGTCTGGGCGGGAGGCTCAGCAGTGGATCCAGCTCGCTGAAGACTAGATTAGAGCGATTTTCCCCCTGTTGCCTCGTGGTGGGGCAGAGCCCAAACTCCGCGCCGTCCCCAAATCACTGGGGGATTATTTTCCAAATGGGTTGTTTGTTCGTTCCTTATCTGTTTTTGTGCCGTCTCTTTGCCACGAGGGAATAGAGATTTTTTTGTTTTAAGAGCTG